AAAAAAAAAAAAAAAAAAAAAAAAAAAAAAAAAAAAAAAAAAAAAAAAAAAAAAAAACTAGAAAATAAAATTTTACAGTTTCCAATTTTTTTTTCTTTCTTAAAGAACTGTTTTTCAGGTGTTAAAACATTGTTATTTAAATTTAATAAAAAGTTAAGCAAAGTCAGAATGACAAATGACCAAATTGCGAAAAAAAAAATTAACAATATTTGTTTTGCTTTTTGAAATTTAAGATAACTACAGATCCAAAAAATAATTAAGTTAAAAACAAAAATATTTTATCGTAAAACTAGTGCTGACAGAAATTTTTAAAGAAAATTGAGAAAAAAATGGATAAAAAAAAAACTAATACAATTAGCTATAAACAAAATAAGTAACAAATTATCAAAATATATATATGACCTACAACTTATGAATAATGAAGTTGGATAGACTAATAAGCAGTTTAGTAATAAATTAAGATTATCTGTATTACTAAAAATATTTGCTTCTTGATTTTTTTTTATTCTTTATCAAACAGCAAAATTTAATATCAGCATTATGTATTTGAATTATTTAATACTTTCTTTTATAATAAATATGTTGTTTTTTTTCCACATATTTATTTTAAAAAATTCTTCCACTACACCTAAACACAAAAATTTGAAAGAAATTTATGCTAATAAATATTATTGAAAATTTTATGGTAATAAATATTAATCTTTAAAAAATTATACAAAAACAAAACCTTATTACACAATAAATTTTTTTTTAAAAAAAGTGGGGGGGGGACACAGAATCACTCATTTCGTTTTATCCAAATCAGGAAAATCTAAACATAAAACATTTCAGAAGAATAATTTTTTTAAAAACACTTGTTCATACAATATATTTTTTAAATAAAAATTCCTATTAGTATTTTTATCAGAAAAATATACTTATTTTTTACATAAAAATACAAAAAAGATTTTTTTCAATGAGTAGGATTAATTAAATATGAAAATAAAAAATATTTTATATCAAACACATTTATTTTCTAACCCAAAATTTTTAAAAGAAAGAAAAATAAATAAATACAATGAAAGTTTTGCAGACATTGTTTTTATAAACATCAAAATTTTATTCTTTGTTTCAAATTAATAACTTAAAATTGATAATAAATAAATTAGAAAATATTTCATTAAAATTTAACCAGATTAATGATAAATTAAAATGAATTGCTTTTCCTAAACAAAGGGACGGATAGCCCCCCCCCCATCTAAAACATGAAAATTAAGTCTTTCTATAGAAACAGGAAAACTCCATGAAAAAAAATAACAAAAGGCACTCTTGTAAAGTAAGCTTGCCAATGTACCTGACGTCACTCCCAACTAAACGGATTAAAAATTTAACCTCATCTAACTTAATTAGATTTTAATAAAAATTAGGAAGAGACCCGCATCTATCCAGAGACAGAGGGGTCAGCATGTAACTGCGATTTTTAACAATCCCTTGAATCACTTCAAGTTACAGGGATCATCCACTCATTGCGATACGAGTTTGCGCACGGTGTTTCCGTTTGGGGAGTAGTCCCCGCAAAAAGTTCGCAATAATTGAAATAAGCAAGCGCAATTCGAGTCTTGAAATAGTTTGAAGTTGTAATCTAAGACAAGAAGTTTAAAAATTAGTTATATTTATTTAAATTTTTTTCAGAGAGACAATTTTTCAGAACAAAAGAACCCCGATTTTTTTCACACATGTGAAAAGTTTGTGACTTTAGAGTGGACGGGTGATTTTTAGTTTGACAGCTAAAAAAGATTGTAGTTAGCATAGATTGTGATTATTTATTTAAGTTTTTGCTCTAAAACAAAGAAAAAAAATTTTTTTTTTGGCGAATCCCAGTTAATGTAAATTTTTAATAAATTAAAATTTTATTTCTCGACGAACTAAATTTAAAAAAGTTTCGATTTTTTAAAAACAAAAAGCAGATTTCAAAAATGAATTTTATCAAATTTTTTTTTAGCAATTAAAAACAAAGGAAGTTTATGTCCACAGTACGAACCTATTTCAAGAACAATAAAAACTACATTTAAACTTTTCATTCCTGGTTTTATATCTCGTATACAAACAGTATTATCCATAATTTCACTAGAAAGGGAAAGCGGACTTCTAAATAGGCAGTTCAAGACTGTGGGTAACGCGGAGGACGAAACTCTACAAGGTAAAAGCAGCATACGTGAACCAGCAATTATTAAACCTTTCAAACAAGCACATCAACCGCGATTCTCCAAGACACAACCTATCCCATCGACGGTAAATCGTATACTGAAATGAAAGTAGCAGTCAGTGGTCGTCAGTCAGTAGCAGAAATCAGACTTTCATTTAAGTGTTGCCAAATTATGTCATAATAAGGAAAAATACTGAATTTTCAGGATGCCTTTTAAATCTCATTTAAATCACGCTAAACATCCTTAAAGAGAGTGTCAAATTCATATAATAACGAAATACAGAGGAGTAACTTTTCATATTATTTTGATTCTCATACCCTATTCTCACTGTAAGAAAATAAACAAGATGAATGCCTTGACAAATCAAAATTTAGATTTTGCTTATTCAGTTAGTTTACAAGTTGAAAAGTAACAACCAATCAGAAGTGTTTCAAACTTGAGACCCATTCTCACTGATCAGTTATTCGAATTTAGCAAAATAAAATTTGCTTTTTGATTAGACAGCTTTGATGACGTGTTATAAGGAGGTGAGTGAAAGATGTGAAGTTGTTGCGTTGGTAAAGGTTGGAAGATAGTAAATTGGAGGAAAATATTTTATTTTTCTCCAAAAACCATATCTGTTATTACAAATAACTTATAACGCATAATAATTCAATAATAATTTTAGAATAAATATTGCAATTTAAAAAATGATTTAAAAAAGCAAATATAAAATATATACCTTTAAAAGAAAAAATATATATATAATTTTTTGTGAAATTTGCTATATTTTCCTAAATTAGACAAATTTAATTTAACAAATGTTCTCATAACTTTCCTCAAATCGTCATTACCGTCACGGAGTGTATTCCTTGGCCATGATCCTGAGTAGCAAAATAACTTATAAAGTAAATGAGGTCAAGATGGTAGGCAGGTACTTTATTTACGACGCACTAGAGCGTCGTCATCATAGCGTCATAAGTCATCACGTCAGGATATTTATTTTTTGAACAATAGGCTAGTGGTGACGATCTGGGAAACATCCCTGAGGATGATTCGAAGACCTGCCGTCACAATTTTGATCCTCTGCAGAGGGGATGGCTCCCCAGCTTTGGTAGCCCGACGACCTGCGCTCGAAGTCGAGCATTTTACGGTTGAACAATTTAACGAGGACAGATACAGCACACCTTTTAGCTCAACGCTGGATAATCAAAGTGGTCACCCACTTACTGACCACAGTCAGTATTGCTTGACTTCGGCGTTCAATTGGGAACCGTGTCTTTACGATCAGTCCACTGCAGGACCTGCTGCTAAGACGTAAAATCCCATTTATGTGCATTTTTCCACTTTTCAGACGCAATAACGAATTTGTAAGTCAATAAAATCTGAACTAAGCTACTTCAAACACCGAATCTAAAATACCATGTAATTAAATGGACAGTATTACGTGTTATGTTTTGAACACGGTGGACCTCAATTTCTGTTCAGCAAATCTTTCTTTTTTTTAATTCTTGTTTCATTTTCCATTGGCAGAGAACTTGACATAAAGGGGAAAAAAGACATGAAAAAGAAAAAGTCNAAAAAAAAAAAAAAAAAAAAAAAAAAAAAAAAAAAAAAAAAGTCATTGTCTCATTCGACCTCGAGCCTCCCAATAACGCTCGACCAAGGAACTCAAGCGAAGCTCTCTGCAGTGCGAAATGTGTTGAAAATCCATGATGACGTGATCCCCACAGAAATAACAAAAGGGGTTCAGGAGGACACCAATGGAAAATCGATGTCCAATGAGACAGTCATGTTGGTACAAAGTCTGAAATGTATATTTATGTTCAGCAAATCATCTTCACACAATTAGTAGTCAAATCAAAAACAGGCAATGGAACGTGGAAGGAATGTTCAGAAATCAATTTTCATCAATTTCATTGCTCTTTTGAATGAAGAACAAGTTTAACAATTATTTAGCGTTTGTAAAAGACGAAAAAGACACTTAAAATTGAAATAATAAGGAAATTTTTAATTGTTTTTTGCACCCAACAAAATCGGAAAAATTATTCTAAAATAAAAAAAAAATCAATAGTTAATGAATGCAATTATTTAAGCGTAAGGGATCATTATATTCCATATAGTGCGCACTACAAGTTACCGTCGAGGAAGAATGGAAAATATTGGTGGAAAAATGGTTTTAAATTTTCTGAACCTGATTGGCGGAAAAAATTCACAAGTGCGTGAACTGCATACACTGAGAATGGCCCATAATATATACTTGCAAATATCTCACCTTAATTTGGTGACCACCAAAGACGAAAACCATTCTGGTTCTCATTCTCATGTGAAAAAATCACCAACTCCGTATTTTCTTGGCTCTTTCAATGGTGATATTCTTATTACCCCAGAAACTTCTATCCCAGAAGTCAAAAATCTAGCTTTTGTACTGTTCTAATTAATCAAAAACGAGTGTCGCTGAAAGTTTTTCTCTAACTCTTTAATAATAATTTATCTTTGGTTCTTTACGTCACTTAATCATAGATGAAATTGACGTAGACTTCAATGCAACATCAGGGACAATTTTTCATGAAATCGCGTTAAAGGATGTCTAAAGCATTTCTTATAAACCTAAATTAGAGAACCTAAAAGCTCTAACCTAAATTACTATTGCTCTGAGACATGGCCTCTAGCATAAATTAAGCAAAGTCAATCTTTTACCTTAATCTCTATATATAAAAAGAAAAAAAAAAGCAACTTTCATCGATCACGATTCTCATTCTCCTCACTTTGAAACTATTCGCGATCGCAACGAACTATAGGGGGCGTTGTTGTATGAGACTAATACCTGCGATTTCTATATGAACAGTCATTCAGTTACTCTAGAGCAGTGGTTCCCAACCTTTTGTGGACCATCGCCCCCCTCTTGGGGTTGGCTGACACATATCGCCCCTTTCTCTTTTTGCTCAAAAAGCCATTCATTGTTGCTTGTAAGCAACCAAACACTGAAAATATGCTATGTTATTTGNAAGAGGAGGAGAGGGAAGGGAGAAGGGCTAAAGGCATGAAACCGGTCTCTCCCCAGATGGCGTATTCGAGTGTTGCGATCGCGAATTCTCCCCACTTTGAAACTATTGGATGAAACTATCTAAAAATTTTATTTAGTTTTTGGAGAATTAACATTCTAATATGAAAATGTCATTAGTTACTTAAAGCCAAAGTTGACGTTTTTTGCTAGAGTCACTAATTTCCATTGGCGAAGACTATCAGCACAAAAATTTTGTGTTTTTCGCATTTACATATTCATAGGCAGGCAGCATATAGCGAGGGGGAGAAGAAAACACCAAAACCTATTTTAAATTTAATAAAAAAATTAATGATTTTAGATAGTTTATTAATAATTTAACGAAATAATTCTACATTTATCACTTTTTGGTGTAAAGGCTATATTTTGAATTTTATTTTGAATTTGAATTTGATGAAGTTTTTAAAATTATTTTGACCATTACTTTAGATTTTGATGTTGAAATCGACGAGTAGTTTTGTTTTTGAATGAACGAGGTTATTAGTAATCTAGTTTAATTTATGCATAAGATAATTTTTTTAATTGCAATTGTTTTGAAAAAATAATTGCATAAAATTTTTTATGACCTGTTTTTTTTTGTAACTGTCAAAAGATTTCATTATCGGATTTTCGTTCGGATTTGTTTTCAGTATAAATTTTTAGGTAAAATGTGATACAATACTTATGTTTAATAAAATTATAATTTTTAAACAATAAGTTCCATTTCATACGGAATATCCCTTTCACATTTCTGATTAATTTTAAATGCAACCTACCAATTTTCTGCATGTTTCAATGGAATGTGCTCTAAGTTATTTTATTTGATTACGACATAATTTTTTTCAAGACTACTACAGAAATTGATATACTGCATTGCAATAAATGCATAAACCTGTGCTTTTTCTTTACGTCGCGTTAGAGCTGCTTAATGAGTTATTGGCAACGGTCTGGGAAACATCTCTGAGATTGGTTTGGAGTCAACAAACATACGTCTTATCCCGTTTTTATAGGAAGGACACATTGACACACCATCCATTCATCCGAAGATCGTAATTTTGACCTTAACCAGAGCACGATCAATTTCCGATCCAATACCCCAGAGGTATTGATTTGTTATTAGAACGGAATGCATTAAAATATTAATAAGTGGTACATTATTGCACATAGTAAAAATGCTATTCGTTTGGAATTAAAGGAATTTCATATCAAGAAATTACACTGTTAAATAATAAATAAAGTACATTATGAGGGATCTGATTTTGTCATAACCTTATGGGTAATAGTTAAAAACGAAATAAGTCTGTAGAACTTTGTTCACTTTTTGGCCACTGTGGGTAAAGCGATCATATTAATTACAAGCTTAGATTAATTTTATTCATACAACTCTTCAAATAAAAATATTTTTTGAGACCGTTAGAATTGCTCCAGATTTTGTAATATTTTTCAATCACAATTTCTTGTTTAAAAATTATAATGTAATATAATTCCTATACAAGCCAATTTCCTAACATTTACTTAAAGAAATAATTGTTAGTATATATTAGAAAAATAAAGGAATAAAAAGTTAAAAAAATGAAAATTTTTTTTATTACAATTAATTGTTTAAAAATACACTTAGAGACTGAGAAAAATCGAACTTTACATTTTCATTCCTTGAAATAAAACAGTAGGGTGCGCAAAAAAAAAAGTGGAAAAAAAAGAATAAAAGAGAAACAAATAACGGATTACCCTGAATAAATATTCATGTTCTAGGACTGAATCTTAATTGTTAGAGAGGCGACCACAAAGGCTAATTAATTAGTGCAGACGAGAGTTTAAGCTATGAAATCAGACAATAGAAAAATAAAAAAATATAAATAAAGATCCTTTTTTTCCAACGGCTTCGAATTTCTGACCCCCAAAATATGGGGAATCTGGAAGAAAACGATCCCAGTAGCTTGATCAGAACAGAGGTTCAAAGTTTATAATGTCATAGTGAACCTTTTAATGTTAATCTTACTGTTTGCATATTTCGGAACTTTTTAAGCGAATTGAAAAAAAAAAAATTAAAAATTCGATTATCCAAAGATAATTCCATGCAAAAAATAACGATTTTTATTACTTAAATTTTTTTT